GTAGCGCGCTCGCCTGGCATGCGTGCGGCCCGGGTTCGATCCTCAGCACCACATACCAACAAAGATGTTGTGTCCACCGAGAACTAAAAAATAAATATTAAAAATTCTCTCCTCTCTCACTCTCTCTTTAAAAAAATATTTATTTTTCAATTATAGTTGGACACAATAATTTTATCTATTATTTATTTATTTATTTATATGTGGTGCTGAGGATCGAACCCAGGGCCTCCCACGTGCTAGGCAAGCGCTCTACCGCTGAGCCTCAAAGAAGTAGTTCTGGGCAAGAGGAAGCATGGGCACCTCAACCCACAGACTGCCTTGAAGTAGTCATTCTCCCAGATACCTGTGGAGTCTGTCCCTTGCTAGGCTGTGAGCGGTAGGGACTCTTCTTTTTGGTCACAGAATCCCAAGGATCCTAAACACAGTACTGGGCTGGGCACACAGTTGGTACTATGGAAAATTTGTTGATGAGTTGAAATGGCCACTGAGGAAATAGGAGCTAAATTCTTAAAAAAAAAAAAAAAAGAAGAGGAAAAAAGAGAAGTCCTTAATCTCAAGGGCAAGGCCTCAAGGGTAAGGTTTATCACCTGTTTCAGAATGGAAGAGATGGCAACCGGCAAGCAATGGGTCACCTTCCCAGCAGGCTCAAGGCCAATATTGCTTGTGACCCACCTTGGGGGTCCCTGGCTAGGACATGACAACTCAACAACCTGGGGTGCTGGTCACCTTGGCTGAAGAAAGGCTTAAATTAGGTCAGTGTGGGAGAAGGGATCAGCTCATCCCAGGGTCTTCCTCAAGATTTGATGATTTCCCAGTTCCTGATGAAACTCTTGTCAGTGGTTTGAGGGCAGAAGGAGGAGGAAACTATTAAGGAAGGGATCACATATAGCACTGGCCTTGCCTGGAGAAAGTTCAGGGCTCATTCAGTGGGCACTCCCTCTCCAAACCCTGGTCGTGTAGGGTGGGGCCAATGGGGAGCTCCACAAATTAAATGGGAACAGAGAGAAGCAATTGAAAGAGTCTTAGTTTCATGCTGGAGATTGAGCCCCAGTCCTGAGGGTCCACCCCTTCATATTCTCCCATCCTAGATGAGAGGATCAGTGGGGGACCAGGGCAGCAACCCCAAGACAGGGTAGATTTTGGAGGTGGATAGGGAGGAGGCCTGTTTCAGCCCTTTCTTTGCTGTGTGTCCTTGGAAGAGTCACTAACCATTCTAAAACGAGGACATCAATACATACCTTTGATAGGATGAATGTGAAGAGCTTGGAAGTATTTCTGAAATTAGCAGACATCAGAGATTATTATTCTCAAAGTGGAGAGGCCATCCTAGATTCTTGGTGGTGACAGCGACAAGATATTTTCCCCCTCCTCTGCGGTGCCTGCTCTTTTTCCAGCCTGGCAGCTGTCTTAATCCTCCATTCCTCAACACCCTGCTTTTCCTTGGCACTGTCTTGGTGGTCCCCAGTTTCTCCAGCCTGTTCTTTTCCATGGATTCCCCCGTTCTAAAACCCCTGGGGATGCCCGCACAGACACACAGTTAGAAGTGGGACAGGTGATGAGGGTCTCCGCTGCTGTGGTCGGTGTCCCCACCGTTTGGGGGCTTCTCTTTGCAGATGGTTCCCTCTGGTCCTCAGCTCATATCTAGACTAATAGAGGAGGATAGATACAGAGGTGGGGGGCCTGGAAGGGGGTTTCCACCTTCTCTGTTGGGGACCCAAGAGGGGAGCGCAACCCTCGCTCCCAACGTCGCATCACCACAGATCCCCAATCCGCGCTCGCATTTGTTGACACCGTTCCACTCG